GTCTCTGGTGAAGCCTCTCACCGCCCCTGCTCCTCTGGCCTGTACCCTAGTTCTGTATGCACAAATAAATAAATCTTTAAAAAAAAGCAGAAAGTCTGCTGTAAAACATTCTTAGGAGCAAATACTCTAATAGGCATTAAATGTGTTTTAATTTTTTATTAGAGAAGTTGGAAGTTTAATTTCAATATTGACGGTAACATAATTTTTCTCTGCTTTGTTCAGAGGAACACACAGGATCAAAATGTACAAGCATATACAGTCAGTCAGTTGGTGCTTTGTGTCCTAAAATCAGTCATCTGATCAGTTCAGACTACCAGGATCCCATGCGCCCTGCTCTGGCCGCATGGCCCAAGTCCCAGCAGAACACACTTTCATGCACATTCTGCAACACAACTACAGCAGGTTTAAAACCATGCAGATTAACACTGTAGCAAATTGTTTGATATTTAACAGACATAAAAAGGTTATTTCCTGATATGAAATTCTGAAAATCTGCATAAATATTCTTGTGTAAAATTAAGTTAGTTATGTATTTTTTTTGAAACTAGAACTCGAAGTATCAAGAATGCCCACATAATTCATATACACATATATATAGACTTTTCCTTTATACTAAAAGTCTTGATAGTCAAATTATATTCTGTGCCATACATTTAGATAACCAGTATTTATTTGGCATTAGCTTAACTGTGTCTGGACGTATTAGTCGTAATTGGTGCTTGTATATCATGCAAACATAATTCTAGTATTCCTGTTTACTAATCTTGTCACGTGGCAGTACTTAGATGATTTTGCTCTATAACAGTGTGAATTAAGGAGTATAAATACTTTATACATGGTCACATTTACAAACGTTTGCCAATAACCACTTCACAATCTTTATGGTGTAATAGTAAATTGAATAACTGGAATCGGCAGAAGCAATTCCTATAAAGCAACGTCAGCTGTAAACTTTCTGAAATGTACCTAACAAAGTTCTCCATTGAGTACTGATGAATTTTGGCACAGGTACACTGTTCTGTGGTATTTTTCTATGTTCTAATAATTTCCACAAATTTTACAGGAAATTAGCTTCTTATGGCATGGTAGAGACATGGCACTTACTGATGAGGTAACTTAGATATAGAAAATTCTGCAAAATTATTTGTCTAGCCGATCACCACTTCTGCGGATGAATTTGTAGACAGAGTTGTTTTTCTCCTAGTGCATGCACTTGCTATGAGATTGCTAATGCACTATTTTTGCTGTAGCTCAAACATGTCCTAATGCATCACAAAGCAGAGTTGTTAACACCAAGCTCATTGACTTGTGATGGTATTTTATAGCAAACATGTTTAAGTTGTATTAAACTCTGCCTTACTGGAAAGAAGAATTTTTACGGATTCATACCTACTTTTGGTTGGCCAAGGAAATTCAAAATTCAAAATATTAAACAGAAGTGTGTGAGTTTCTGTGGTTTCAGGTAACATCCTGTTATACATAAAGGAAACACAAAAGACAAAAGTGTTTGTCAATGGGATTTGTGTTCAGAAGTTTGACTGTGATCTTTTGATGTTGTGCGGTTTAGCTGCTTCAGTTTGCATTTTGGAGTTTCACACCACTGTTGCTGGTCTGCGGTCCATCTCGGCTTCCAATTTCACCATCTGCTGCATCTCCTTCGCCTATAACATCAGAAACATAACCTTACATACTGAAATCCTCTCCTGAAGTCACACAGAAACCCTGGCTTCTCTTGTCCTGCAAATCTAATGCATCACCATATTCTTGCTATTCAAAGTGTGGCCCAAGGACCAGCGGAATCAATTGCTCCTGTAACCTTGTCAGAAATTCAGTTTTGGACTCTACCATAGAACTACTGAATCAGAATCTGCAGATCTCCAGACAATTTTATGCATATCAACATTTGAGGAGGCTCTGACTATACAGTGTCATGAAAACTACTTGAAGCAGATTGTCACATAAAAGTGATTTAGTGTCTACAGGCTGATAGATTACCTTGACTGTACATAATTTGGTCGATTATAGAAAAAATGTTGTTGATATACAATTTACTTTAAGGCTATATACAAAGAGCCTTGGGTTTAATTAACAATCCTTAAGAATCAAACTGATGGTGAGGCTTAGGTGGTAGCATATCACTTTGGTTTGGTTGGAGTATCCTGCAAATAGAACTGAACAGGAATATGTAAGATATTTAGACTACTACTGTTGCAAGACTATCACTATGGGTCCACTTGAGTAATTTTTTACTTACTACCCAAGAAGTAAGCCTTACTGAATCCAATTTAAAGCCTGTCACTGAGACAGTCAGCAGACTTGTGAGGTAGAAAGAGTTGAACAGGGGCAAATAACTGTTTGAAACTAAAGGAAAAATCAATTGTTTAATTTTAACTTTTACTTCCCAGTTGATTCAATATCCATTTGCCAACCCAATTCATGTACCTTTTGGAGGAACAATAAAGCACGCCTTTTCTTTTCAAGTGAAATACCACTTTCTAATAAAGGACATTTAAGAATGGAAACACGCACACATATGTAACTCAGAGGAGGACTCTGAAGACCTCTGATATTACTCGTTAATTCTGCTTACATATCCCAACTAAATGGGAGGTCAGTGAGTGAGTGTGGGGAACTGTGGACACCATACTGTGAGGATGTAAATGTTCCAGATGAAGTCTTACTATACAGTCTGTTTGACCCATGGACCATCTTCTTATTTTTCTCTTGTGACTTTAAATTTTATTTTGGTGAGGTTGGCTATCAAAACACCAAAGAACACCTTCACACCTAAATTTGGGATGGATGGTTTCCTCTCCCCAGAAATAAATTTTTATGCCTGAAGTATAGTAATACTCCAATAGAAAAATGAAAGAATGGAGAAAAATATACAAACATAAAACTATGGCACAAACAGTATTCATAATTGATGACAGTGAAACATTACCAGCACTGGAAATTGAATACTTCTATGTTCAGGAAGTAGTAATAAAGGCTTCCCTATGCTTCTCCCCCGTTAATATTAAAAGATGACACTAAATAAAATTTAGAAGGAAGAATTGCGTGACATTAGAAGATTATTACAAGGGCTAAGTTCTCTTAGGAGCACAGTGACAATACATTCCCACTTGTCAAGGACAGTTCCAGTTTTGTGTTCATAGACTAGACCATCAGGAATAGCACCCCCTTTCACTCAAATCTATGCTAGTGTGGAGAATAAACTGCAAGATCACCTTATTTATAATGGGTGATTCAGGTTCTTGACAGACTAGATCTTGCAGGAAATAAGAGTGACTGTATAGTGACTCATGTATAATATTTCTGCACTCAGACAGTAACTAACATTAAAAACCATGAGTAAACTTTTAGTGGGGTGTTTTCAAAGTCGTTGGAGCCACCTAAATATTTGCAAAAGATCTGACTCTGCTGGCCAAGACTTATCTGTGGTCATCCTAACAGATAACCATGTATCATTGTTCCTCATGTCTGGGAATGTCTTCATTCCTATGACTTGACCTTGTCAGGTTTACAACTGGAAAAACACTGGCACAAACTCACTCAGAGAAATAATTCCCCTAAAATTTGGGGGCATTTGAGTTTGAATATTCATCAGAAATGCAAGCATGAAATAATCAAACTTTTAATCCAAACACTTGAGAGATTAATTATTTATGACCAGATATGAACCACAAGTGGAGATTGCACCGAGATAACTGATAAGTCAAGAAGGAAAGCAAAAGCTTGCTTATCCAAGTTTCAGTCCTACCTTGCGTTTGGGACACTGCATGACAGGATTTCAACAGCTGTTTGTACAAAAATAGTAATGTCAAAATTGAGTCATACATACAAAACAAAGAAAATAAATGAATACTGAAGTGATCTGAGAAATGAATGCAAAACCATATACAGAAAAGCAAAAAGCTAAGAATAATAAAACATGTATACACCCATCAGTGACAAACTTCCCCCAAGTTGCTCTCAACACAAAAAAACGACCAGAACAAACAACCAATGCCTATTAGCCCAGATTGTGCTTCTGTTCTATGGCAGTTAAGTGCAGGATTCTTCCCTTCAGTGAGACCCTTACCTCTCTTTATTAAATGATAGGATTGATGACAAATCAATTGTTAAAACTTGGGCGCGATAGTAATGGAGCTGCTAATGCTTGAAATGACACATGTCAAGACAGATGAGAAATTGCATGGTGGGGAGGTCTATGAGAAAACATATTAAGAAAAAAATTCCTGAACTTTGGAATTTTAAAAGAATGACTGATTGACCAAGTAGGCAAGGCCATTGAGAAGCTTCCAAAATACACAGGAGGGTAGGATTCAGTCAAGACCAAAATATTTTAATACTTGAGTTGTTCCTGCCAGCGTCCTCAACACAGTCTAACTAATTAAGTTGGTCCAATGCTTTCCTTTCGAGAAATTGGGTGAACTTAAAGGATGAGGGTCACAGGAAGAGTAAGAAATCTTAAAGGGAGTTAATTAAGTTAATGTCAAACTTAATTACTTATTTAATTGATTTTTTTGTTTTAGATTTACTTACTTATGCATACAAGAACTGGGGTTTTGGCCAGAGGTGTGGGGAGTAAGAGGACTCACCAGAGACAAATTGGGGAGCAGAACAGGCAGATGTAATGAAATACACTCTGAGAGGAGCAGTGGGAGAGACAGGAGAGGTCTGCCACACCATGTGGGTCACCTTCCTGGCTGGGGATTGAACTCATATTACAGTGGCTGTGGAGAGCTTCATAGAGCTATGCTTTAACCTGTTGCGTAACCAGGGAGCGCCTTGTAAAACTTAAATTTATTTTTGGCTTGGCAAAAAAAATGTCTTGGGGCTTAACAGTGACTTGGGAGACTGCCAGGACTCAGGTAACTGTTTTCGGGTAATAAAATGCTTCGCTGGTTTAGATGGGACCTCTCCTACATGGTTCTAGGTCTTGCTTATTAACGAAGGAAGAAATGGAATCACTGTGTCTATAGTAGTATTGAAACACTTAGAATTAATATCTAACTTGAGATCTACTTGATCTTTCAATAAAAAAAAAACAAAAATAGAAAAATAGGATTGAATTTGTTATTAAATAGGTGAGGTCTTAGGCCAAAGTTTAACATAGAAATTTAAGTCCTAATTCTATGTTTGCTAAAACTGTCAATATAGCTTCAAGGCTTCTCATGTTCTAGGCTTCTGTGACTCAAGGTATCACTTGTGGGTGGCAGACATAACTTAAGACATCTGAAAGACATTATATGAATTTTTAGAACAAAAGTCTATCCTCCCAATGAGATCCAATCAATACAAATATTGTGAATGCAATTTTTACATCCAAGAACTCTGTTGTGGTTTGAATTATCCATGTGTTTGGACAAAAGGTCAAAGTGGTTTTTTTTTTTTTTTTTGTAATGTTTGGCTCTGAAACTAAAAGCACTAGGTAATTCTATTACCTATCTATCTCTGATATACACCACTATTGTAGTGATGAGCAATTTTTAGCACATTTACATTCTCTAGTCAAACTTGTTGCTAAGCAACCTAATGATTTCTAAGTAGTTTCTTAATTTAGTTAACTAAAACATAACTGTGCCTTACCTTCATTGTGCATTCCCCATTATCTCCTTATCACTAAGAGGACCCTAATATGTTGGAGATGGTAACTTTATTCTTATTCATATACCCCATCCCTCCCTCCCCAGGAATATGTTCTTAGAAGTGCTTTAAGAACAAAAGCATAAAGTAGGTAATCTCTCCCAAAACATGATGTACCTATGAGTTGGTCAAATGAATTGGAGCCAAGGGACAATAAATTTATTGTCCCCTTGGAGATCTGTGGACTGTTCATGAGTAGAAGCATTTAGTTGAGAAGGAAATGTAAAACATAACTCAGAGGTGTGTGGATGAATAAAGCTCTGTCTGCCAAAACGTAAACACTCAAACTATAGATGGATTTATTTTTTACCAATTGCAATACAAAAAAAAAAAAAAAAAAGAGAGATTTGATGGTTTTGTTTTACTTTCTCAAAAGTATTTTTTTAGCATAATTCCTACTTAAGTATGCTTCACTGGCAGTCATTTCTCTGGAAAAAAAAAAAGAAAACTTTAAATAGGACTGCTTTTTAGATGGGAGGATAGAACATTGCAGTACAATACATTTTCATCAAAACCTCTTTATCGTTTCTAGATGGAGGTAAATTATCTAGAAATAATAACTTCCAAACCAGTTACATTGAAAGAGTGAAATTTAAACTCAGACTGAAATTTAACCTGCTGAGGGTCATTTTGCTCTATAAGCTGAAAGGATTTTCATCAAATTGAAATGAGGTTGTGGCTGCTTGATCGGCTGAAGCTCATTTGGGATGGTGCAAACCTGCTTTAAGTAAACACCGTGATCTGAGTGTTGGTAAGAGCGCAATGGCTGAACTGCATTGTTGAATTTTGGATAGTGTTTTACTTCCATGCACTTCTTAATTCAGTGTTTTGCCTTACTGGGAAGAAGCATCAAAACATGGCGAACACTCACATTAGGTGGTTTGTACATTAGGGTGACTCATGCCAGTAAGTCCTGCTTGTAAGCCATGAGAGGACTTGACCACTTGTCCTTAGCTTGCAAATTATAAAGCTACATGAAAATGGAGAAATAATTTGTTTGTTAGGACCCCCATAGTTTGTTCAAAGGATGACTTTGAACAATCCTCTTTGATTCATTTTTCCTCATAATCCTATTTCTCTCTCACTTCAGAAATGAATACTTTCTGTCCTTGTCGGATGAAATGGGAAAAACACAGTGAGAGGCACCAAATCTTTGTTGCCATTGGTTCAGGACACTGGCTTTGACAGAAGGACCACTGGGGCTGAGGCGTTTGCCTCTCAAGGCTGGCTGGCTGCTAAGTGATTTTATGCCATTAAGTTAAATACCTGCTCATTCTGTTTCTCTAGGAATTCTAGGTGCTCAAGCTGGACTTTTTTCAACTGATCCATTTCTTTGGACTGTTTCATTGCGAGCTGCAAAAAAAAAAAAAAAAAAAAAAAAAATTCTGGTAAATTTTGGGTTATAATCTTAAAAATTATGGATGAGGGGTGTCTGTTAAATTTATGATTTGAGTAGATGATAATAAAAAAAAAAGGAAGGAAGAACAGCCTAAAAACTGGGAGAGTTTAGAGCTATCATTTTTACTGAAAGGGTTTTTCCTGCCAACATCTTAGGAAATAATAGAGTAGTTATGCATGATTAAAACCTGGCTTGTTTTTCTAAATAAATGGTGCCAAGTAATTACCTCAAAGATTTTAGTGAAAGATTACTTTAAGCTTTGAGTGAGAAGAGAAGAAAAACAAAAGCACTTCCTATATGGAAAAGCAAATTAAGCAAATTAGCTAGAAATCTGATATTTAAGCAGGAGTTATTGTTTATGGCTTTTAAAAGGAAGCATGCCAAGAGAAACTGTGAAGTACTTACTCTCTTTCTTTCTTCCAGAAACTTTTTAGTGTTGCTGCTGTTTAACTCCCTGACTCGCCTAAAAGTAATAGGTACAAACAGTAGTTGGCATGACATCAAAGGGAATTAACACCGTGTTAAGTAAGAGTGATATTACATTTAATTATTTGGATGTGAGAGTGACTTCCTTCTCCTGATTTTTATTATAAACAAAACAAAACAAAACATGTGGCCATTACAATAATAATCATATAATTAACAAGTAGGTATATAATAATTTACTCCTATGTTGCTATTATATTTTAAAAGGAAATAAAATTTTAGCAATATAAAGTTCCCATTATAATCCTCCCAATTCCATTTTCTTCCTTTCTTTCTCCTGAGAGGAAACTACTGTTCTGAATTTGGTGTGGACCGTGCCTCCATGCTTTAATCTTTTTATTCATAGGTTCATAAATATTTTCTCCCACTCTACTTGCTGCCCTTTTATTTTGTTGCTTTTTTTTTTCTTTGCTGGGTACTTTTAGCTACTTTCTACACATTGATAAATAGTGTTTGAATTGCCATTCAGAGTTATAACATCATGCAATTTCTGTTGAAATGCCTTATTTGACCTAAGAAGCGCTTATCAGTTTCTATATACTTTTCTTAGGTCTCTGATGGTACATTTTACATTTGAATTCTCAGTAGTTTAAAATAAAGGTTAATAAATATGCATATGTAGATGTAGGGCATTAGAAGGTAACCATTTGGCATAGAAAAATTTCTTTTAAAAAAATCAACAAGTTTAGATGTGCTAGAACCACAAGCCACTTGATTTAGAGTTACAATAAACAAGTGTAGTAAGACTAAATAAGGAAATTAAATGAAAAGTTTGCCCATTACAGCATCAGTGAGTCATTATTAAGACAGTTTGACCTTCATGGGGTTAAAGTCCACTTTGAACAACTGAAAATATATAACTATTTAATAATTATATTTAGTATGTTGAATTCTAACATTTCATTTTGGACAATCAGTAGTAACTCATTACTACTGATTCATGAGGTTTTATCATGCCTAGATTTTTTATGTTTTTGAGTTAAAATGGACTATAGCATTTCCATATAGATAAGGCCATTATGAAGGTTTCTTCTCTATAAATAACATCCAGAGAATGCATTTTGTTTTAATAAATAAGAACCAGAGGGATGCTAAAACAAGCTACTGCACGGCAATATTGAGAAAAGTGAGTAATAATTTTCCTAAAGAGACACAGTGAAATCCCATGTTGATTAGGAAATCTTGGCTAAACTGTTGAAAGCAATTTGTTTCCAGGTTGAATTATTGTGGAGCTCCACATTTTATTTGTGATCCATTAGTTTCAAACCATATTTAACTCAAAAAACACTTAAGCATGAAAATATACTGAATGGTACTATGCTTTGTAGCTTATCATATTTCAAGGTTATCATTATATATCACTGTTTTCAACTGAGAAGTGTTTTAGGAACCAATGGCATTGAGATAGCAGAAGAGCAAAATAAGGAGGTAAACAATAAGGGCCCACAAAAGATCTTGTAGGTTGATGAATTGAAACAAGGGTGATTGATTTTGTAGCTGGAAAGTTCTCTAGTTGCTCAGCTGATGTTTAATAGAGTTGATCAACTTTTAAGTCCTAAACTTCATGTGATATCTTAACCCAAGATATTTCGTGGGGCATGAAACAGTCTTTATATGGGTCATGAACTTTAACTGGAATCAACTTCTAGCCATTTTTTTTTTTTTTTTTAAAGAAGAGTTCAATTTATGGACAATGGTATGGGAGAGACTGGAAGGTGCCTGCACCTACAGTGACGAACTTCCCAGAAACGGATCAAAATACAGGAGTGACCCAAATAGACCGGGAGAGACAGGGAGAGGGAAAGAAAGCCAAATGGGTGTGAGACCCAGGCTGGGCTTCAGATCCAGCTCTTCCCTAGGGACCTACGGAATAAGCAGGGCTGGTGGGGGCCTCAGTTCGTATAGGGTCCCCTGCTCTCACTCCCTGCCATCTTCACCAGTGGGCTGAGACCTTTGGCAGGTGGTATCACAGGGCTAGGGAACAGTGGGAGGGGGGGTAGGAGAGTCAAGATTCTTGGAGGCTCCCTGGGAAAGTGGGGGTCTAGGTGGCGTGGGATTAGTAGCAGCTAATCTGGTCAAGCACCAGTCACTGCTCAGCAGGCCCCTGCGTCCAGGGTAGGGCCCCCACCCTGCCCACCATACCAACATGGTACAATAAAGTAGTAAGTTAGTTTCAGGCAAAGACTGGCAGAATGCAGGGGCTAAAGGAGAGAACTTCCTGGATCTCCAAAAGAATGAACCCTACTGTGCTGGTCATGGTGTGCAAACTAGGGTTTTTTGTTATGAAGCAACTGGCACTTATATCTTCAGAGGCTTCTACAGGCAGATAATGAGCTTGATAGGTAAAGATTCTAACTGTGGAGCCCTCCCTGGTGGCTCAGCGGGTTAAAGCACAGCACTGAGAAACTAAAGCCACTTTCGCATGAGTTCGATTCCCGCCTGCCCAGGAGGTGACCACATGGCGAGGCAGACCTCTCTTGACTCGCCCGCTGCTCCCCTCAGCAGTGTACTTCGTCGATCTGCCTGTTCTGCTCCCCATTCTGTCTCTGGTGAAGCCTCTCGCCGCCCCTGAGCCTCTGGCCTGTACCCCAGTTCTGTATGCACAAATAAAAAAATCTTAAAAAAAAAATATTCTACTTGTGACTATTGGGAATCTCCTTCTCTTGGGTAACAGGATGAATGAACTTTTTTTGGTCACTCCTATAAATTGATCCATTCCTGGCAAGTTCATCACTGTGGGTGCAGGCAACTTTCCTGTCTTTCCCATACCAATGCCCATAATCTGATCTCTTCTTAAACAAAAATAGCAAGAAGCTGATTCCAGCTAACACCCTCTGAGATCACCTTCTGCTAAAGGACTTGCACCTGGGACCTTCTCTGGAGGTCACACAGTCTTCCCCAACTGCAAGTGGCCAGTGACTGTCTAACACTCAAGTACAAAACCCAGATACCCTTGTGTCAAAGAGGGACAAATCCTTAGTCCTGGCTGCACACCAGAGACTGGGATTAGGTTACGGGGGCCTGGGGCTGAGCCCTTGTTGCCAAGCCTCCTCCTGGCTCCAGCTTGCTTCCTGCATTCCCCTCCTCTGAGGATCTCTTTCTTAGGAAATACATGCACCAAATTCCTGCCTTATTCTTTATTTCTAGCAACTCTAACCCGAGACAAGGAGAAGCCAGACAAACTGGGATGTAGTGGTGGTCTGCAGACTAAGACAGTGCAAGGCAATCAAGGGAAAAAGTTGCTCTTCAAAACTGGCCCACGCAGAACGGTCTTGTACCTGAGTAGGTGAGCTGCTGTGCTGGATGATCCAGGAGAATGTGGAGTGGATTTTTGGCATTATATTAATTATTATGTCATATTTCATATAATTTTGTTTACAAATGAGCATGCATATGATGTTGAAGGTAAATTTATTTTACCGGTTTTATGAGACAATCAAAAAGCAATTGTTCAGGCAATAATCACACATTTTCATAGCAGTTATAATAGAATTCTTAGCCAAAACTCACACATTGTTTTTTATATTTTAATGTTGAGTATGTACGAATTTATACCTGTAAATGTTGTCTGTATGTTGAAATCAATGCAGTAAAAATGCTTTTAACATTCGAAGACTTACCTTTCCCGTTCTGCTTTATTCTTGATAGATTTATCTTGGCTGATGGCTTTGCTGTTTTCCATAGAAATCTTAGCCTGGTGTGCTCGCATTTCCTTGCTTTCCCTACATATTAGAAATAAATGGGAGAAGGTGTTGGGGTATTAGTGTATTTGTGGGTTTCAGTTGATAAGATGGAAAAAATCTGGAGGTCGATGGACCTAATGCTATTCACTTAAAAAAGTACACCTTATGTTAGGATATTCAATCATCAGAAAGAAATTTAAAAACACACAAATGTTACATGTAACAGTACGACTAGGTTTATTTTCCCTCATATTTGAGCCCATTGAGCTATTCCACATTCTGTGAAAGGGAGGGAGACCCAATCCACTGGATACTTCCTGGTGACCTTGTGGTCAAGTACAGTGTTTTCTTTTTGTTCATAAAACCCAAGACTTTGCCACTGTATTTGAGATCAGATGGGCTAGAAAGAAAGTGAGAGAGAAAGAGAATGTTCTTTCAATGTGGTAGTATTCTTACCACATCAGAAGGGATGAACAACACTGAAGCAGAGAGTTCCTCTTTAGTGACCGTAGGGCCACAGAGGCAGGACTATTTATACACACTTGGGGGCCTCTGAAAACAGCCCTTTAATTTTCCTATAAATTGCTAGTAAATTGTATGGTGGTGGAACATGGGTGATTTGGTGTTAGGAAGCCCACGGGGATTACAACTGAGATGGAAAAATACACAAAATAATGTAAAAATAAACGAAATAAATAAATAAATAAAATTGTTAGTGAATTGATTATTTCCTTATTCATTCTACAAGACATTACCTTGTCATTCAACAAGACATTAGTGTTTTTGTGGGCTTCAGTTGAGAAGATGGAAAAAAAATTGGAGGTGGATGGACCTATGCCACTCACTTAATAACCAGATTTTTAAGCAAAGAACAACTGCTGTGATTTTAAAAGGAAGACAATCACAAGGTGTTTGAGAAAAGCATAAATACTACTCTTCTTTGAAAAACACCCCTGCCACAGATTTACTTTTGAAGTTAAATTAATAATTAGCTTATGTTCTTTCTCTTCAAATGATGTACTAAGTAATATGAAAAATTAGTTTACTTTGTTTTTTCTTTTGGATGATGTCTACTTTTGTGGCTTAATTTTTTCCCTTTATTCAACTTAAAAACTATTTTAAAAGAATGCTTTATTCTGTGAAGTTATGTTTGAATGAAGACAGGCATGTAAAATATAACTATGTGCCAGAGGGTCAAAGACAAAGTGATGGACAGAATTTTGAAGAGAATTTCTAAAGGGGGGGGGGAAGACAATTTCTAACTCCATACCAAATGAAATACTTCAAAAATGAACATGGTGTAGAACAAAATCCCGCAGGAAACCGAATTGGGCTCACTTCATGTAGCTGCTTCCAGTGAGAATTGGAAACTATGGTGAAACACTTTATATCCTGAAGACTATGTCCAAAATAAGACTGGGAACTTGAGACCAGATAATTTAAGCAGTTAGCATTTAAAAAGCTTTTTTGTTTGACTTGTTTGTATAATGCTTCTATCTTCTCCTCTTTTGTGTGTATCAATAAACCCTAACTGTAGCATATAGTTGGCATTAAGTGGGAAGCTAGCAAACTGCAAAAAGTTGTAATGAAAAGACGTAATTGACATACTCTTCTGCCAGGGAAGAAGTCCAGTTCATCATTTGCAGTATTTTATATGCAATATTCAATTTGCTAAAGTGGGGAGAGACCAAAATAAACTGAAATTTCTCTGCTGTTTCTTGACCAAGCTCCTCTTTCTAAAATTCACACAAGTTCTACTAGTGTAAAAAGAAGGGTGTCTCCACATTTATCAGTGAGGGGGTCAGACTGATGGCTCTAGGAACATTACTCACTGGGCTGGATATCTTTCAGTGTCTCTTCCTAAAAGACTCCAGACTATTTTCAAAGGCCAGTGTAGCCCTATCACTCCAGATGCATCCATGACCACTCCAGAGATGGCGGAGCTCCTTGGGGCTGGATGTTTCTGCGTCTGGGACAGTGTTTAGTACAGATCATATGCTACATGCCTTATAACTTAATTTTTCACCTGAGTGTGCTGTCTTGCCGATTCTTACAAGCTCTTTGACGGCAGAGACCCTTTCATATGTTGCTTCTTGCTCACACTAGCTGTAGACTAGGGCACGTGAAAAAGCTCAAGCATCACACGTCAAGTGGATTTCACATACTATCCTGGCTCACAAGCACACAGCATTTAAAAAATGTGATGTCTCCCCTGGGGATGGCTCACTCCCCTACCTGTCGTGGGACAGTTTCAGCTGCTGGGTTTGCTGCTCGTGGGCGTTGATCAGCAGCTTTCTCAGCAGCTCACACTGCTGGCTGAGGTGCAGGTCTCGGATTTCTTGCTCCTCTGCGCTGTGCGTGTTGATCATTTCTGACCACTCCTTTGTGTGCTGTGCGACAATCTCTTTGACCTGCATGGGACAAAGGATGGTGTCCCTTGGTATCCTCAAGGGCAGTTAAGCACTGAATACTAGGCACGCATTTCAGATCCCTCCCTCCCATTAGTGGATCAGGGGACACGTATAACAGGCCAAAAGTATGTTATTATCAATAGGACAAAGAAGTCATCACCTATTAAAATAATTCAATCACTTTTGCACTGAAATTTAAACCAGCACCTGTTATTTTCCTGATGAACTTGCCAACACTCTCATTTGTCTGAGAGTGGCCTTCTTTACCAGTTCCATCAGAATTCTCTTCATCACCTCATGTTTTCACAGCTTCATTTGCAGAAGGCTTCAGCACTTATTGTTATCAATCCTAACAGACACTGAGGTGAAAAGTTTTCCCCTTCAGTCTTTGCAATATGGTTTTGAAGCTGTAAGAGCTAGAATCTTTCCCCCACTTTTCTTGAACTGGTTGACCTGTGACTTGTTTTAGCCAATGAAACATTAACGAATGTGATACAAGCAGAAGCTGGAACACTGCTTGTCCTTTCGCTATGTCTGGACTCCTGAGGTTTCCCTATGTTGCATCCTGTGCTAACCTGCAGGAGGATGAGAGGTCATGTAGGAAAAACAGCCACTAAAAGCCAGATTAGCTGAGTGAGGCTAACAACCCCAGCTGACTATAGGCCCATATGTGAGCCATCCGAAATCAGAAGAACCAGCTAGTTCAGTACAGCCCCAGTGCTGACCCTCTGATTTGTGAGCTCACACATGGTGATTGTCTTTAGCCACTAAATGCTGGCGTGGCGCTTATTTGGAGCAAAAGGAAACGGATACAGTTGGCAAAGTTTCTACTTTCCTATCTAGGTAGAGCAGTTAAAAATCATGGCATATTGCACTGTGTTCATTCTCAAACATTCTAGTAAGAAGAACGGAAGAAGGGTAGGGAACAACTCTCAAAGACACATGATTTCCTGCTTCTACAGACTGCATGACAGAAGAGACAAAATAGCACCAATGAGGGTTTCTGCTTGAATTACTTTGCTGGCTTGTGGATGCGGTGGGGCCACTGGGCTAATGACAGACATGGAGCCTGGTTGGTTTGACCAAAAGCTAGAGCTGGGGGCCTTCTTTTTATTTTTTTCCTTTTTTTTTTTTTAAACAATTATTGCTGGGAGGATTATTTGTGTTCTGGACTGGAATTTGGCTATTCAGTTCTCCATGAGCCCACGCATGAAACAGATCTCCCCAGGCTAATTTTCCTTAAGTCTTTGGGGGAATTATGAATAATTAGGCCTATCTCCTAGAATATCAGCACTTAACATTTTTTCATCTCAAACTTCCAGAGCAATGTGAAGATGGTATATGAAGTCAGTCAATTCCAAAATTGGGTGATTTTTCTGTGATATACAGAAAGTATAGTCTATATTTTATACAGATTTCCTTTCAGTCTATTCATGAATTGTTTCACCTGAAGCAGCTAAGGTAGGCAACATATATATAACATATTTGCACAGATGAAAGAAAATTAGTTTCATTAAATGGGTCTTCTCAAAGTAGTGAGCCTGGGGAAAATGTTGGTCCCTGGATCCAGGCATTTCTGATTTATGTTAGATATTGCTTCTCAAAAATTACAAAGTATCTTCTATAAGTGGCTGGTAGAAAAACAGTCATTTTCTTACCTTAGACTTATGATCTGATGTTAGTGTCTGAATTTTAATTTCTGTTTCTTTTTTCATTTCCAGACAATTACTTCCCCTGAAAATGGAAAATCACAAATGCATGCCAAATGTTACATATCTTCCCATTCCCACAGGCTTTGCTACACAGCTTTCTGGTGAAGACTATTTGTTCATCAAATGTAGGAGGCCATGGCTCATTGGGTAAGATCAGTTTCTCTAGCAATAGATGCATACCTTACAAAATATCTTATTGTGATTACTCAATTCAACCACTATACAAAGAGACACTTCAGACCTAACAATTATTTCATTGTTAAGGGTCTGGAGTCAGTTTCCATTTCGGTGCCTGATTTTCTTACAGCTATTTATTACTTATTCAATAAAATATTTTTGGGGATAAGAACTGGAAAATGAGTCCTCAGTCTTGAAGTGAAATTTTTAATTCTTCCATTTTGGTTCTAAGGCCAAGTTTTTGTCTTTTACGCAAGCCAGCAAGGGAGAAAATAGCATTTCTTGGCATCATAGCGTAAATTTTGCTTTGTATCCTATTGTGAATGGGGAATATATATTAGGTAATTGCCCAGCAGACATTATTGCTTATTTTGATTCTTTTTTTCCTTTCCAAACATCAGTATCATTGCTGAAACCAGAACAGGTCCTAAGTTACTGTCTTTACCATATATGCCATGGTTATTATGATCTCAGTCAGAATGCTTCATTATGTTATTGATAATGAGAAGCATTAATCTAAAAACGCTAGATCGCTCACTGAATCTGTTACTTCTTAGTGGCTGGCACTGAGTATATGTCCCCTCTAGGGTGTTATTCAGTTAGCTTGCAGCTTCAGAGATACCTCCCCGGGGTTAATTCTAGACAAAATCATTCACAGTAAATGCAATGATAGATTTTATTCAACAGTCTTATCTGTTAGTTACAGAGTCTTGTAGAATTAAAAATCGAGATTGCTTTCTTTTCCCTCTTGTGTACCACCCTCAGTATTTGTTTTCTGGCTATGCAAAATGGTTTCTGTGATTCTGAATTCTCCCAACTTTAGCTTATCCTTCCATCTCTTTTCTATTGCATTCACCTTAAAGATACTTGAATGGAGAACACATAAGAGAACTCATTATTACATCATTCATTTACAGCTATAGAGACTGAATAAAATTCATCTTTTCTATTTCAATTATTGGCTTCAGCTTAATGGTTCTCTTATTTTCCAGGAATAATTTTTAATAATGAAGACAGAGTAAAGAGTAACTTTTTCCTCCGCCTAGACAAGCAGCTGAACTGAGGGAAAAGACAATACAGAAAGGCAAAAAAGCTTCTGGAATAACTAGTATTACCCCTTCTTCTTCATTGCCTTCTCTAGAATCTTCTCATGAGTTGACTTCTCCTTGTCATACTGTGCCACAATTTTGTCAACCTGTGTGCAATGTAACTTCTGCATTGTACTGTGTTCCTGAATAGAGACAATTTTCAGTTACAAACTGGACCTTTAGAGGGGCTGATAAAATTTTATATATATATATATATATAATAGTTTATTTTTACATCATTTTGTGTATTTTTCCATCTCAGTTGCAATCCCCTTGGGCTTCCCATCACCAAATCACCCATGTGCCATCACCATAGTCCAGTGCATTTCTCTCCCCCCACTGTTTTTGATCCCATTCCCCACAAAATGTATCTGGTATATAGCTGTTCATCATTATCATTATTTTCTGTCCTGGTCTGTTATACTCCTGCTATGAGAGAAACCATCCGGTATTTTTCCTTTTCATTCTGGCTTATTTCACTGAGCATGATCCTTTCCAGCTCCATCCATGTTGCTGCAAAAGACATATGTTTCTTTTTTTTTTTTGGTTGCTGAGTAATATTCCATTGTGTATATGTACCACATCTTTTTAAACCAGTCATCTACTTTTGGGCATTTGGGCTGTTTCCATGTCTTTCCAATTGTGAATAAAGCAGCATTAAACATGGGGGTGCAGGTATCTTTTTGAATCAGTGTTTTTTGTCTTTTGGGTAGATACCTAGGAGTGGGATTGCTGGGTCATATGGAAGTTCCATGTTTAGCAGTTTGAAGAACCTCCAAACAGTTTTCCATAGTGCTTAGGGGCTGATAAATTTTACCTTTGGCTGGGCTGGCATCATTTTCAGTAATTTTGTCAGAGTGTTGGCTAGAAGTAACAGAATCTGGAGTAACAGAATCAAGGAGTAACAGAATCTGGAAATAGGAAGGATTCCAATCTCTTCCCAACATAAGAGTTTCTTATACAGGTGTATCCTCAATAAGGGCATTGCCAGCCTCTGTCTAATGAACACACTAATCTCAAAAGTCAACTCTTCCTACCTGTGGGAAAATACTATTCACCCCCAAGTCCTTTCTTTTATACATATATGTCCCCATAGACCTTCTATCTCTCTGTCTTTGTCCTGTGATCCAAGACACCTAGTTAGGCTTCTGCTCCTTCTACACATTGCTCTCAAAATATATATGTTCAGCTACCATATTTCTTCCATTTTACATGAAAATGTAACCACTCATCATATGGAGGTGCTGTGCATATTTTGAAAGGTCTTGGATACCCTCATTACATAATTAAAACTGCCATTGTGGGTTGCTACTGTCAGCTGATTTTGAACCCTCATCACTTGGGATTTTTACCAGCTTTCTTATCTTGATGCATTTACAAGGATGACAGTGTTCAGAAGCTCTGGCCTTAGCTTTATGGATATCTAGAATATTTTTCTATTTGCTGATATTGGGCTGTAAAACCTTGAAAATAAGTATTTCTTTATAGGCATTATTTCCACTGGATAATTTGGCCACAGCCAGTGAGACTTATCTCAAATTAGATTTCTTTAGCTGCTCAGCACCCAAATGGAGAAAATCAGCACGATCAGTAACATTCTGACTCTAAATGATATTTGAGGTGATATCTTAGTCTTACTCTTGAGAAACTTCACTGGAATGATATTTAAGACCAGAATGAATATAGTCACCGATTATAGAACCCCTCTCACAGGCTGATTTCCCTTGCTTGTTTATTTTAAAGGTCTATGAAAGAGTGATTTAGTTAAAAAAAAATAATTTTCTACCCAAAGTAGGCTCAACTTTAAGCAGATGTAATTCATGAACATCATCAAAAGATTTCATAAAATATAAACAGGAAAGGCCCTCCCTGGTGGCACAGTGGGTTAAAGCACAGTACTGAGAATCTAAAGCCGCTTCCTCATGAGTTCGATTCCCGCCTGCCCGGAGGTGACCACATGGCATGGCAGACCTCTCCTGACCTGCCCGCTGCTCCCCTCAGCAGTGTACTTCGTCGATCTGCCTGTTCTGTTCCCCACTCTGTCTCTGATGAAACCTCTCGCTGCCCCTGAGCCTCTGGCCTGTACCCCAGTTCTGTATGCACAAATAAAATAAAAATCTAAAAAAAAATATATAAACAGGAAAGGATTTTTAACTTTGCCAAGTAGTTCTACTGAAACTCTGAATTTTAATTAGTTTCTCAGGCATCTCATGATCATGCTGAAAACTGGTAGCCCAAAGGGTGGATCCAGACTGGAGACATAGTGTTTTATTTTTTGTTCTACCTGGTCTTTCAACAAAAGATTGAATTAATAGCTAATATCAAAACATCATGTGATCAGCACGGTCATGTAAGACTTCAGATTTTACTATTCTCCTTTAGTAAATGACACTGGCCACAGACTTGGTGCATTAACACTAGGACCCGAGACAAAAATTGCCTTCTTAAAGGACCAAGGGCCCACCATTTCTACACCTGGCCAATTTCCTTCATTCCTTTCCTGCTTAATCCCTATGGTATCTGAGCTGAATTTCTTCTTCTAACATATTACTGGGATATTTATCTAAGCTTGGGTTTTACATTTTTTCCCCTTAGGATTTAAAACATGCCTGTTTTTAAGGAAAGTAACCCTAGTTCTGGACCTCAAAGAGTCACTCTCTAGGGTAGGATTATTACCGGTTTGTCTTGTTTTCTTTTTTTCTTCTGTGTGTCATCTAACGGACACTGGAATCCTATTTCCATTTCTTTTCTTTTCTTTTCTTTTTTTTTTTTAGAGTTATTGATTTATTCATACGGAACTGGGGTACAAGCCAGAGGTGCAGGGGCCATGAGGGGCTTCACCAGAGACAAAGTGGGGGGCAGAACAGGCAGATCAACAAAGTACACTTCTAAGGGAAGCAGTGAGCGGGTCAGGAGAGGTCTGCCGCACCATGTGGATCACCTCCAGGGCAGGGTATCGAACTTGCACTGAAGTGGCTGCAGCCAGCTTGCAGTGCTGTGTCCTAACCTATTGTGCCAGGAAGGATCCCCATTTTCATTTCTAGAGTGAGAGACAACTACAAGTGTGATTGCCTGCTGCATTCACAGGTGAAAAGAAATTGACCATTACCATCTTCCATCAGCCAGGTCTTTTAAGTAGCATTGTGATCTCATTTGGGGCTCGAATGGCCATTACCCCTGTTATGTAGTATCCTAACAGCAGATCATGTATTATTTCTATGTCTTCCTTTTGTTTGTGGCAGATCCTCATATTTATGTCCATTTATTTATTCCTTTTGTCTACTCTGCAGCTAACCTTCAAGTTTGGAAATAAGCTTCTTTTTGGACCACACATTTCTATCTTAAACCATGGGGGCTTATTTCATGGATTCTCTGCTTCTCTTTAGGTCTGAAAAGTGGCATTATTTCCCCAGGCTGATATGTAAGGGCTAAGAATGCCCCATAGTAGTGAATATGCACTAAGCACTGATCTCTGCTCTTACTAGGATGCCAAGGGTGAACTGCGCGTGCTATGGTTGAGACACTGCAGCCCAGTCACCTCCTCTTCCCAATAAGTTATCTGTCCTTTAAGAGGCAGGATCTGCATTTTTCAGGCAATTGTGGGGCCTCACAAAGGAGCTGAAGGACACTAAGTGTGCTAGGAGCACCCTATTTAGGGGAGGAACTTGTTTAGAATGTATTTCCTAGACCTCTCTTGGAGATTAAAACTAAATCCAAGGGACACAGAATGTGCATTTTTGACCCTTGGCCCTAAGGCAGCATGTTTAAAAACTACTCCAAAATGGCCTTGCTGGTGGCCTACAGATTATTCCCAGTGCTTTCACAGCAATGGCCTGAGTTCAATTCCCAGGCAGGGAGCTGACCCAGATGGCACAGCAGACCTCTCCTGTCTCGATCACTGCTCTCCTTACCAATATATTTCAGTAGATCCACCTGCCTGCCTGTTCTGTTCCCTACTCTGTTTCTGGTGAATCCTCTCAAATCCCAACACCCCCCAACCCCAAACACACACACCTTTGGTCTGCATTCCAGCACTCCAACTGTTCTACACCAAAATAAATAAGTAAAATCTTAAAAATAAACAAACTAGTACAAAGAGTCTTGAGAGACTCCTGTTGCTCTGAAAATTTAGCTGTTACCTTACCTAAAAAATTTTGAAGGCTACCTCTAAAAAAAATACATACTAAAACCTTTGTAAAGGTCCATACAAATTTAGATGATAAGATGTCGGGAGATTTATGAGCGTATAGCTGTCCAGTTAGCTTGTATCAGTTTCTAGGCAGTATTTTGGCTGTAAGAAATGTGTTGGTCCATCACACAAAGTAATAGCTTAAGGTTTTCATCAGGGAGCTAAAAGTAAAAAGGTTTTAAACAAATAAATGTAGATGTGCACAGAGAAAACATGGTACCTTTGCATGTTTCTTCTTTAAAGAATTGAGCTCCTTCTGCTGTTTCTTTAAATGCTTTAAGTAAGCCTGTGAGAGAAACAAGGAAAATCTGGAATAAATTTCTGTAGCCGTACTTGGTGAGAAACAAAAATATATTGGTTTCACCAATATGTTTAATATAAAAATGCTTGCAAAATGATCAAGCAATTTTACCTTCATCTGCTTTAGATCTTCTATCCTCACTTGAGGGATAAGCTCGATACCTTCAAAAAAGAAAGTGTCATCATGCATATTAAAAATTAGAATAACTGATAACATAAAATAAACAGCTTGGAATAACATCTTGAGACTTTAAAGTTGCTTCCCATGCACTGTAATGGATTGACAACATCTTAATTTCCAATTCAAAGCAAACAACTGGACAATTAATTGACATGTTTACTGTCTTAGGTGAGTGAGCAGAACCTGAATGGGGGAATTTTTGTATGTGATTTATTGAGAGAAGGCTCTCAAGAGAAACCTGAGTGCATTTCCAACTGAAATACAGCCTTAGTCTGACCTCACTGGAGTATCTTTAGCACAAATGGTCCTTTAGAGTGGTTCTGCTTTGAGGTAAGGAAACTGAGCTTTAGTAACCTCTGAGGCTGCAGGTCTCTGAGGTTCTACATAACCTTCTGCTTCCTTCCAAGCAATGGGATATCTACAGACTGAGAGCAAATCCTAGAGTAAAAGTGCAGTTGGAACTTACAATCAGCCAATACTCTATATACTAAGAATCCTGCAACTGGAGTGAAACCAGGCTGGGCGTTGTCATGGCAACCACTATTGCCGACATATCCCCAAACATACTCTGTTTGACTGTAGATGTCCATTTTAGACGAACAAAATGAATGTGTGCTCCACTATAACTGATTTTCATTACATCCTACAGGTTAGGAATGAGATGTTCAAGGAAGACTGGCATCAAGTCCAAGGCTCTTGTTTTTCAGTTTTATTCATTTTAAGATTTATATACTCAGTGTGAGGGTGTATGGCTGGAAAAAAGAGCTTCTTGGCTGAAAGAAATCAGGCTTGTGAACTAAAGCATTTTATGACGGGATTCTGCAGGGCTACAGGGTTGCTCTCTGGTCTCCTTAGTCTGCCATTACAGTCCTGTTTTACTCTGGACAGTGGGAGACAGTGTAGCTCAGAGGAGCGAATCCTAGCAAGGCTTAGCATTCTTTGGGTCTCTATTCTCTCATCTGTGAAATAAACAAATAGGATTTGGGAACATGAAAGTTCTCCAGAGAGCTCACCAATCGAAAGAATTCAATGCTTGACCAAGAATGATAAGACTATTTTTGGGTCTTGATTTAACTAAATCATGATTATCAAGAAACTATGAAATCATAAACCTCCTGCCATCACTTGGTTTTGCATTTTTTGAAAAAGACATGGAACTTGTAAAATTGCTGTCCCCTAAAATGATTTAGTTAGAAAAAATACACACTACAGTATAGGAATTGGTACTTATTCAGTTACATCTAGAATAGTCACCAAATGTGGAGGTCTTCCATAGGTGAGTGTATAATGAGTAGCCAAGAGCCACACAGTGGAGCTCAGGAACTCAAGTTTCTATTTTTTTTTTTAAGATCTATTTATTTACACATACAGAACTGGGGTACAGGCCAGAGGCTCAGAGGCGGTGAGAGGCTTTACCAGAGACAGAGTGGGGAGCAGAACAGGCAGATTGACTAAGCACACTGCTGAGGGGAGCAGCGAGCGGGTCAGGAGAGGTCTGCCTCACCATGTGGTCACCTCCGGGGCAGGCGGGAAGTGGCTTCAGATTCTTAGTGCAGTGCTTTAACCCGCTGCGCCACGAGGGAGGACCTCAAGTTTCTATTTTTAAGTTTAAACTTAAATTTAATTGGAATAAACTTACATAGTCACATGTCATTAGTGGCTGTTACCTTGGACAGTGCAGGTCTACAGGGCTTCCCTGCTGTGAAGGTAGGGCTATGGAGTACAGTTTGGCTTCCAAAGTGTGTTGCTAGTTGGAAATGAACTAGGAGCTGAGTTTCCTTAATTCTTTATTCTTGAAATTAAAAAGGAAATCAAGCAATAGTGGTGAGGTCACTGCTGTTTTGCTATTCATCTTGGGGAAACCATTCAGAATTTCAACTCACCTTCATAGATGTGGGCTTCACTCACACACCTTGCCATTTCTCCAGGTCAGCTCAATCTAGTTAATTACCAACAGTCACCCTCTGCACTTCTTTCCCTGAGGAATTTTTTGTCTTCCAAAATCTGCTGTACCCTGCTTCTGTGGTCTAGGATTGTGGGATTGTGCAGGAGCGGGGGTACATTGCTGGTCACTCAGCACTGGTTTTCAGGCCACTTAGCTCGTTATGATTACTCATGACTTTACACGCAAGTGGGAGTGATACAAGAATCTTACACACGAACTCTTTCTCACTGTCTCTCAGAGGCTAATGTTCATAGTGACCGGTGCTGGCACAGAATGCCCAAAGCCTGTCTCATTACTTTCTTCCATGTTCTTTCCAAGGAAGAGCAGAAACACAGCTGCAGGCCAAGTGCAATTTGGGCTGCTTCTGTGCTAGCTCATTTTCTAATTTGCTTCACGAAGATCAATGCACACTTAGTTTCTGGCTAAATTACAATGCTGCATTGGTTTGGGAATCTGTCATTTTTTACATTAAACTGAAGCGCTATGTGGACTTAATTGTACAAATAGCTTGGTTTTCTTATACCAAGGACATGAAATTCACATACCAATGGGAAATACACACATGCACATTATATACTGAGTAAAAAACCATTGGGAAAAGAGAATCTTAATAAAGTAAGAATTTAGAAAATTTGGTTCACAGTCGAGGAGAACATTAAAAAATTTTAATGACCAGTATGGGCCCACCAGCCAGAAAGGGGGCCTGGGCGGTAAGAATTTGCAGTGTCAAATGGCCAGTACACTGTTCCCTGTAGAACAGCTAAATATTAGCACTTGGGACACACAATTCTTGGTGATGAACCAGTAGTGCCAGGGAGGCATAGGACAGGTTCTCTATGTTCCGGGCAGGCGGGTAAAAGAGTCTTGGAGTCTGGTGGCTTATTCAGTTTTTTTTTTTTTTTTTTTTTAGATTTATTTATTTATGTATATAGAATTGGGGTACAGGCCAGAGGTGCAGGGGCGGTGAGAGGATTCACCTGAGACAGAGTAGGGAGCAGAACAGGCAGATTAATGAAGTACATTACCAAGGGGAGCAGCAGGCGAGACAGGAGAGGTCTGCCGCCATGTGGTTACCTCCTGGGCGGGGATCGAACTTGCAATGAAGCAGCTGCAGCTGGCTTGTAGTGTTGCGTCCTAACCCGTGTGCCACCAGGGAGAGCCTTATTTAGGTTTTCGATGATCTTTCTACACCATTTGTAGTGTGGCCATCAGGTGCAGGGCAGACACAGAGGCCAGGGAGCCAGGAGGCTGGCGATCCTCCTGCCCTGTCAAGTCTTGACTCTTACCGGGCTCTCTGGTGTTCTCTCCTGATCTCTTCGCTGGGCTCTACTGCGCAGCCCTCTGCCACCCTGTCCTCACATGCTTGGTCTCTCTGCTCAGGTGTGCCCACTTAGGCATGCCCAGCCACCCTCCAGGTGTCCACTATCAGTTGCGCATGTAAGATCACAGGTGTCAATCACTGATGCTAGTCGTGGGAGGGCAGAAAAAACCCTGATATCTCCATGTACCATACAACACCTCATGATATTTTGTTTCCTTCACAGGCAACCACCTAGAGCTAGCATTCAAAAACCCATCTGATAATTTTACAAGCAAACAGAAATGATAGAAGCTGCATAGCTACCTATAACGGTAAATTTAAGGGATTCTAGCATGTTAGAACAGTTTTGTTTCTTAGGGTTTAGGAGATCACTGCCTGCCCAGGTAAGAACCCAGGTTGGCATCCTAAGGAGAGTGGAGATGGAGTTACCGAGGTTCACAGCATGGAAGTGTTTTTGCACAGAGCACATCAAATGAACCGTTTTCTCATATTCTGATTATTTTATGCGGTGTGATGAAGGTGAGGGCTTTAGCAGATGAAACTCACAAGTTGACTCCCTGGTTAAATGATGAGGGTAATCAAGCAGTTTGTCCAATCCATAAGCAACGTCTTGAATTTTATGGAGCAATGAAAATTGGCAAGATTAGCAATTCTAAATATCCTCATAAAAGATTCTTTAGAGAGTGTACAATAGCCAGAGCAGACAAGGAGCCCCAATAACTCTTTTACCTTTCTTGGCTTCCACCCCAGACCCCAGGGCAGCCGTGGTGGTTGGTCTGAGCTCAGAGCTGCTCTGAGGGGTCACGTTAGTTTTGGCAGTGTTGGCCTTTCCTTTCTTGTCATTCTTAGAGGTGTCACTGGGCACGTCCGCTATGTCACTCTGGAACAGAAAACGTTGCATTAACTCAGTGAATGACACCACAAGGTCAAGCATCTTGCACATTCTCTATTTTACTAAATTCAGTCTATACCATTCAAATTTCCCCCACTGCTTCCTACTTTCTACTCTTTTAGTGGCTCTTTGCCTGGCAAGAATAAAGATTGTGTGATGTTCTTAGGCATGAAATGAAGGATGAAGCCAAAGAAAGATTATGTAACTCCTTCACAAGATAGTCACACCTTCTCTTTTTCTTGCTAATGCACAGACCACTGTTTCCACTCAACCTACAAGTTGGTAAAGGGAGCATTTAAAAACAAAAACTGGGTCTCCCTGGTGGCCTAGGGGTGAAGTTTCATCACTAGCACTACAATGGCCTGAGCTGACCCACAGGATGCAGAAGACCTCTCCTGTCTCACCTGCTCTCCCGCCCACCCCCCTGCCCCTTAGCAGTGTATTTCAGTAAATTCGCTATTCTGCTTCCCACTCTGCCTCTGGTGAATCCTCTCATACCCTGCACCTTTGGTCTACACCCCCATTCTTCTACACATAAATAAATCTTAAAAAACAACAATGATTCAAGTGTGAACTGGAATGGGAGGAGGCTATGGGTACAAGACTGGTTAAAATGAACAATAATAAATGCCAATTTCATCAATTTATTGGATTGGGTTTGTTGAATTTCCAGTGTACAGCTAAACCTTCCAATATTTTCAATGCTCCTAAAAATGTCACTGAATGCTCCCATTTCTTTTTTTAATGGGGCAGGGGCCCCCAGATATGAGTTAAGCCATAGCTTTTAAGGTGGTGATCACATTTTACTAAATATCTATTATACTTGTGATCACAGACCTGTGAAATAATTTTGTTGAACTAAGTTCACTCTCAAAACCCCCTCTGAACTTGTTATGTTAAGTTTATTACTCTGTCTTGCTCTTATAATCAAGAAGCTTGGTTGACAATCACACTTCCCCAGCTTGGCTGTCTTGAAGTGACCACTGGTACTTACAGTTTCAATGCCCATAGCTCTCATTTGGTCTGCTCTCTTTTCAGTAATAGAAAGAAATTTCTTTGGATCTGACAAAGCATCCACAATATCTGGACAAAAAAAAAAAAATCAGGTTGTTAATGCTGTTTTGCCGAAAATGTCCTAAAAATTTAACAAATAAACTATTTCACAATCCGGACCTCCACTACGTTTTCTGTTAAGTAACGTCTCCAAAACCACAAGACAAGGCTGGGGAGGGGCTGATCATTGCAGAAAATGAGACAGTAAAGGTGAGGACTAGTAATGAAATTATTTTATCTTTGAGTTTTTCCCAAATAAAGCAGATGATGTGGCAGGGAGAGTCAAAGGAGTTGCTTTGGATTCTGACTTCTTGTGTGACTGGAAATAATGAATGCCTCAGCCTCAGTTTCTTCACCTGAAAATTAGAACGAAGGCTTCCCACCCTGCTGGGGTATTGTGAGAATTCAGTAAATGTTCAAGGTAAAAAGTACTTGAAGCTTAGCACAAGCCACTACTAAGTCTTATTCTTAGGTGCAGAATAATGCATATTTAATGCCAATTTTGGTTCATTTAATGCCAATTTTGGTTCCATGGTAGTTAAATTGAAATATTTCCCCAGGGATTATTTTAGTGATAACTTGCATTTAATAAGCAGTAAAATTCCATCTTTTCTGCAATGTTGTTTGAAGAGCTCCATGACTTTCAAGCAGGAGTTTCATAAATTTTGCATAAATTACTAGTACTATAGAGGAATAATTATTCATGTTACCTTAAAATGGTTCATAATTTACAAATTGAAAAAAATGTGTTTATCAATTTTCCCCTAGTAGAATTACCTTCCTAATTGCACTCTGAAGATAATTTCCCTCAGTTTAAACCTTTTCTTTTCATTTTATAATAGAAAATAATACATGCACATGGTAAATATTCAAATACATGAAGCAAAAAGTAAAATTCTCCTGTGAAATCTACACATACTAGGTAACTACTGTTTATCCATTTTTTGGTATCCTTAAAAACTCCCATAGGTCCCTAGCTTTTTGCACCTACTTTTAAATTTTTTGATTTTACATAGCTTAGAAATATTTGTATACCAGCAATATAGATCTAATATGTGATTATTAAAAGCTGTTTAAATGCTACATTTTCTGATTGAATATCATTCCTTTAACCAGTTCTTTACTGATAGAGTACTTCCAGTTCTTTGTTATTATAAACAGTATTACAATGAATGCTCTTGAACATCTCATAGAAAACCTTTGCATATATATATATGGGATAAACAGTTATAGTGGAATGGTTATTGGAAGAAAAGGTACTAAGGAAAGAACGAATTAAGAGGCAGTGAGCTGAGCAATGTGCTCCAAAATTCATTATCTACCCAGAACCTCAGATTATATGCTAATTGATAAATAGGGTCTTTACAATGTAATGAGTTAAGGACTGACATGAGATCACACTGGGTCAGGATAGGCCCTAAGTCAATGACACGAGTCCTGCAAGAAGCCAAGGGGGCACACAAAGACCATGATGGATGTCCCAGAGTGCAATCACTCTCTCCAGGAGCTAGCAAGAGGAAAATAAAATATTCAAGAGCTGCCAGCTCTAGGATTTCAGCCTTCTAGCCAATGGCAGCATGAGAGAATACATTTCTATTGTTTCAAATCTCCCAGCTTTTTTTTTTTAAGATTTATTTATTTATGCATACAAAACTGGGGTACAAGCCAGAGGTGTAGGGTTGGTGAGAAGATTCACCAGAGACGGAGTGGGGAGCCGAACAGGCAGATCTACTGAAATACAGTCCTGAGGGGAGTAGCGGGCAGGTCTGCTGTGCCATGTACCATGTGGGTCACCTCTGGGGCGGGGATTGAACTCGCACTCAAGCAGCTGCGGCCAGCTTGCAGTGATGCATTCATACCCGTTGCACCACAAGGGAGGGCTTCCTCCCAGTTTTTGGTAAATTTGATTAGCAATGGTGCTTGAGAAAAAACAAACAAACGAAACCCAACTCTGCTACTTAAAGTCTTGGGTACATATCTATCATGCAGTCATGTATTTAAACTTACAAAGAGGGTTTCATGTTGTTAAGAAGGAGGTGCCACCCACTCCGGAGACTTCCCAACGGCTGCCAGGTTTGATCTCAGGAATCCTAGAGCTACATGTGAGGGTTAATCTTCCTGTTTTCTACTGCAATGTTTGGTTTCAGTCAAAAGGACTGATTTTACACAATTCTGACCTAGACTTATATGTTCTAAATTTTGCAAAAATTACAGAACAATATGTAAACTAGGTCACACATCCTTTTGTGTCACATGAGATGCTCTTGCCAGCCATCTGCTGTAGGATTATGCAGGGAAAGCCTAAAAAATAATCAGAATAAGAAGCTGCAGATGTATCCATCAGTTGAGTAAATATCACAACTGAAATCTATCCTCAATTACTAATGTTCACAGTTCTAGAAGCTGTTAGGGAACTGTAGCTCCAGATCCTGAAATTCTGTCTTATTATTGCAGTCTTAATGAGATGTCTTTTTTGCAGTTTAACATACCTTTAAAACATTTCCAATGGAAGAATAATACCATTTAACTATGATGCAACGTAACAGTGTTCTTCACCAAAGAGCAACAAAAATGCACAAAGATTAAATAAGGTTTGCTTAATGAAATTATATGGAACAAAAGAAATTATGAAAGTGCTAAATGCCTTTAGTAAAGCTTAGGTTAGCAGGTTACCTGAAACCTGCTTCATTCCTGGCAATTTCAAATAACAAATTAGGTACTTGGGGACATTTAATTCTGTCATGTGGTGGCAGGTATCATCCACAGTTGGGGTTCTATTAATGTAGGGTGTGGCAAATGCCCACCCAGGACAGTGCCACCACAAATTTGAGGCAAAGGGCAAAAGAGCTTACTTAGGATTAGGGCCTGTTCTGCCCGCTTTTAAATTTGTATAACTTAGGTTCGCCTCTCTCCGTGTGCAACACACACACACACACACACACACACACACACATACACTTAAGTATGCATGTGTATCATATTCAGAGATATGTACATATGTATGTGTGTACATATATACGCACATGTATATATATCTTGAAAGAGATTTGTAATAACCACATTTAAAATAACGTATGACCAGAGTATAAGAAGCTGTGTCTCAAATATCTCATACCTCTATAACTGTGCAACTCTATTTGGTGATATTAATTTTTTTTTCTTTTCCTTAGTCAGGAAAAACATTGAGGAAGCAGTTTCATAAATCTGGTATATTCTTGGCTCAAGTTTAGCTTATTCAAGTAAACCTGGTATCTTTCTTTGGTCATAATCTGCTATTTCACAAGGTTTCTTTCCTCATCCTGGGGGGACCCTGTGGCTGACTATAGTCTACTTAGCTCATTGTTCCATGGGACGAACCATGCTGGCAAGAATTAAAGCTAAGTTCTGATCAGCACTGACTGATATGTGAATAGGCCAGTCGAGGGACGAGTCACATTACCCTCTGATGGGGAAGATGTATGTGCACGCTTCATACACCACGGGACAGACAAGGATGAGCCACAATTTCCTGAATACTCGAAGGCCATGGCACAGATGCTGGAAATTTTCTTTTTAAAAAGAAATGCAATATTCTTTTTCTCATTTGTTTCAGCTGGATTTAAAGGAAGCCTTACTTATTTGCATTTTTACAAATACCATCTATTTCAGGACTTAGAGCTAATTCCAAAAGGCTGGTCTCTCCTAGTGAAGACTTTTTCCATACCCTCTCTCCCACCTGTCTTTCCTCACACCCATACAAAATTGAAAGCATTGATTTAGACACCCCCAAGAGCTGAAAGTACATAGTGATTCCTTAACACAGACTTTAGGGGTTTTTGGCTTTTTAGGAAAACTCTTTTTTTTTTTTGTTTGTCTGTTTGCTTGTTCTTTAAGGTACTGGTACCTTGGTGGTGAACACCCATTTGGCACCTAGGACACCCCTCTGTCCCCAAAGAGCTCACTTTTGTTTTCTCCTACTCCCCATGCTACTGTTTCTGTCTAATTTAGAGATAAAAGCAGCTGAAAAATACCTGTTCATCTATTGGCTACAAAATCATAGTAATTAATATCAATAAATCCCATAATGCTGATTTTGGATTAGCTCTTTTACTTTCTACCAAGTGATTCAAGCGTCTCCCAAACTGCATATCCTAGAACACCAGAGGGCCCAGCAGGTACTGTGGTAAAGGAGCCTTTGGCTGGGTAAGATTAGGGAGTGCCCCAGCCTGCCCCTCTTCTCGGGTCTTCGCAAGGAACTATGCAACAAAAGCTTATTAAATCCACTTAGTTCTGCAGTCCCCAGTATAGTTCACCACTGTTCATCCTGCACCCCCTTTCCCACTAGGGCTTTTCTTCTTGGAGTTCTTGTTATTATTTTCTGTGGTTCAGAAGAGGCTGTAAAATGGTCTCTGTACCATTACTGACATACAGATATAAAACATTAAAATAAGAAAAAGCAACAGTGGGTGGGAAAAGCAGTTCTGGAACTGCTCCCTACACTGAACACAGAAGCTACTGTGACAAAGAGGCTGCTCTGGATTAGTGCCATTTCCAGGGGTGACTGCACCTACAGACCGAGCGGCAAAGACAACGGCAGTTCTCTGAGTCTCACTGCATTTGACAAAAGAACATGTACTTGAGCACTCCAGCCAGTTACTGCTATTTTGCTTACGAGCGTGGGAGGGAGAGAGGGGACTGTTTTACTCTATAGTCAGTAGAAAATTAAAGTTGAAAAAAATTAAACTAAGGCTTTTTGATTATTAGAAATGCCTCTCCTAAATGTTATTGTTATTATTTTTTTCATGCCAAAGTTTAATTTGAGTAGTGAAGAAAATTCATCTAGGTCACTCAGGAGCAGATGCTCTATGAAGAGGCCAGAGTTAGGGCCCTCCCTGGTGGCACGATGGATGAAAGTGCAACACTGCAAAGCCAGCTACAGACACTTTAGAGCAAGTTTGATCCCTTACCAGGGCGGTGACCCACATGGCCCGGCAGACTTCTGCTCCTGCTCCCCGCAGCAGTGTACTTTGCTGCTCCCTACTCTGCCTTTAGTGAGTTCTCTCACTGCCCCTGCACCTCTGGCCTGTACCCCAGTTCTGTATGTATAAGTAAATAAATCTTAAAAAAAGAAAAAGAAAAAGAAAGGTAAACAGGGAACTCATGTGAATGGAAGAGGCTGAGTAGGGTGGGAGATGTTGGCTGGAGACCTAGCTCAAGTTGGCAGGGGCCTGGGTGGCCCAGAGTTCAAGGCTTCTAAAGAATACTATATGTGGCCCTCCCTGGTGGTGCAGTGGGTTAAAGCACAGCACTGAGAATCTAAAGCCACTTCCACATGAGTTCGATTCCCGCCTGCCCCGGAGGTGACCACATGGTG